TCACGATGTATACCCTGCTATATACAAATCAAATAAAGAAATGATGTTTACCTACAAAAAAAAAAAAAAAAAAAAATTAGATATAATTTATATTTATTAATTAATAAAAACAATATATATATTATATTTAATTTTTTTTTTAAAAAATTATTTATAATAAATAAAATAATAAAAGTTAATTAAAAATTTAAAAAACTTTTATTGTTTAATTTAAACTATTATTAATTATTTTATATTCCAATATAACAAATTAATATCTTATATATTATATTAGATAGTATATTATTATAAAGATATAATAAATCAGATACAAAATAATTATTGTAATATTTTTAATAATAAAATCTAGAAATATAATAGAAAAACAATTAATAAATTTTAAAAAAATTATAAAATAGATTTAACTAGGGCTCTGAAAAGTACTGAACTGGTATTGAACTGGTATCAAAATAGTATCGATCTATAGTAAATTTAATATATGAATTGTGATCTACTCATATATTTTTATAGTAAATTTAAGTATTGAACTGGTATCGAAGTAGTATCGAAGTGATATTGTTAGGAGCCCTAGATTTAACTTATTAATAAGAAAAAATAATTATTACAGTCAAATCTTTTTATATTGATATGCCTGGATCAGATCATTTGTATTGTTATAACCAGTTTATCAATATAAAAATTGACTTTTTACTATATATTATAATAAACAAGTAAACAAAATTATATCTTTATAACCAAAAATTATTATAAAAAATATCATTATAAAAAGGTTTAATTGTAGTTTATTTTAAAACTTTTTATAATAATAATAGATATTTAATATATAAATTACAAATATAAATTATTTTATTATTTTTATTTAATTACAAAAGATAAATTTGCAAATATCAATTTATTGAAAATGAATATTATATTTAGAACTTATAAAAATATAAATAATTAAATTTAAAAAAATCTATATCTATTAAAAATATTTTAAATTTTTTTTAAAATCTTTTAAAAGTATTTAAAAATTCTAAAAATATTTATTACTAAATTTTATTAATTAATTATATAAATATATAAATATTTATAAAATAATTATACTTGATAAAAATATTTTTATATATTATTTATAAAAAAAATATCATATATTATTAAAATCAAATATTTCTTATTTTGTGTAATATTATAATAATTATTATAATATTAAATTGAATAATTATTATATTACTATATTTGGATTTATATTATGATTTTAATATTCATTTGACTAATGTGTAAAATTATTTTATAAAAAAATTATATATAATAAGTTATTTTTTTATTTTTTTTTTTTAATCTCGCAATCAAGTTAATGTCATTTATTTATTAAATTATAAAGAACTATTACAAGTTGAAAATTCATGCAAAGTATAAATTTCTTTGATCCAACTTACCTGTCTTTAGCTGAAGTCTCTAGATACAATTTATGGGGTAATATATTACTGTATTTCCCTAAAAGATGAAATTAAGATTCTAAACTTTCAGTAAAATCAAAACCTGCAGATTGTCTCTGCAGTCATAACTATACATGTGTTTGTATTTAATTCAAACATTTTTCAAAAACCATATTATGTTCATATTACTAAGTAATAATTAGTAAATAATTGGAAATTGTATTTAATTCGGAATCATATTATTAATCAAATTTTCTTTTATGATAATAAGAAAACACATATAGTTATGACCATAAATCCAAATTGTATCACCCTCCTCTTGTAGTAACTATGCAAGAGGAAAAAGAAATAAAAAAGGAATTTTTTGAACAAATGAAAAGAAAAAACTATCATTTATTCTATTATTAAAGAGATTATCTCTGTAAACTTCAAAAACCCAAGTCTTTTATGATTCCTTACTTCTCACTATCTGTAGTCAGTAGAACTGTTTAATTTTTATTGGAATAGTCGATGTCCAAGAATGTTTAAAAGTACTTTCAAGAGAGTATTTCTTGAGACTTTACACTTAAAGACTTCTAACCAGAAGGAATTTTAGTTTTTTATTGTTAATTTCTTTCCCAAGCCATATTTTTTGAAATTATTGCTTCATTCAACCAGTAAATAGTTTTAAGATCTCTTTCTTCAATCATTTTCAGAATAAATATCAGTACTTTAATTTGTTACCAGATTGGGATAGGACCTAGACCTTGTTGCTACTAACTGTTCTCAAAAAAGAATAAAGAAAAAAAAGAAAATAAAAGGATAAAAACAAAAAGGAGTCACTTCTCTTCTACTTACAACTTCAACTTTATCTAATACTCCCATACTACTCCTTTAACTAAAAACTATCCAACTCTTTCAGGAACCAATCACATCATCAGTTTAGTGTTGTACGACTGAAAACATATAAGAAGTATGTGTCTTGTTTACATTTTCTATAGCTGACGTGATCAACCAACCTGTAACCTTAATCAATCATCTTTCAGAAAATTTGATATGATTAAAAAATTCAGGTTTAAACAGAGGTAGGCAAAATTTCTCAAAAAAATCAGAAAAAAGGAAATATGCTTGAAAAAGAAGAAGTAAGAAACCAAAAAAATGATGGAAAGACTAAAGACTTTTTTGTTCTTGTTTCTTTAAATTCTTGAGTCTTTTGAAAATTTTTGGAGAGTATTTTTTCTTGTCAGTTTTTTTCCTGTAAAGATGTTTTTTCCATAGATCTCTTAGATAGGTTTCTTGTATTTGGTCGCAAAAATAAACAAGAAAAGTATTTTGAAAAAGAAAAATAAAATGAGTGATAGCTTCTGCTTGCTTGGCTGGTTAAAAACCAGTGTTGTTTTAAGAAAAGTATATAGATTTTATTATTATAAAGATAAAAATCTTTTGAGAATGTCTATTTTTTGAATTGAAAAAAGAATTGGTAGAAAGAGTTTTTTTTTTTTTTTGTATATAATAAGTTATAATATTTAATATTATTTTTGTCTTTTAATTACTTTTATTTGAAATTGAACTTTAATATTTTATATTACAAATTTATAAATTTATATTATAATAATTAATCAAATTACAAATTAACACAATTATAACTTTATTATATATTTAAATAATAAAAAATTGTTTAAAAATTACAATATTAAAAATATCATGAATTGTAAAAAAATTTTTTTTATTGAAATATACTTTGTATTTATGTTTAATTTGTATACTATTTTTTTTTTGTTTTTGTTTTTTAACTTTTCTATTTTTTTTATATACTGTATAACTTGATATCATTTATATAAAATATATTGTTTTAAAAAATCTTTTCAATACCAGATAATTATTACAAGCAATCTATTATTAAACATTGAAATAATATGAGAGGTGTTGTTTTTTTCATGATATATCAATTCAAAAAATAATAATAATAATAGTTACTTAATAAAAATTACATAAAAGAAAATTATATATTTATAATAGTAAGTAATTTGTTTTTCATTAAGATTAAACAGAAAAAAAAAAGTTATCAATTTTTTCGTAATTGATAAAAGTTAATTTTACTATCAGTTACTTTGCTAGATTACAAGTATAATTTATATAGTTAAAGAATGAAACTAAAAAAAAAAAAAATTTTCTTTTTGGATAAAAATAATTGTTTTTTGTTACAAATAGGCGCTTAAGTTTTTATGAAAAAGTTAATTGTTATCGTTATTTATATTTTTATGATTTCTTTATGCATCAGTAATTAAAAAACTTTAAAATAGGTAATGGTAATCACACAAATCGATATTTAAATAAATAAAAAAAAAAAATTTTTTTTTTTTTTGATTATCATTTTCGATTTCAAGAAATGATTTCTGGTGTTTTATCACTATCTCGAAGGTCTGCACCTTTACTTCGTTGCAATTATTGTCTTCCACACATAATTCAAGAAATACGATTACCCGTTAAAAAACGTAATACATTATCATCAAACGTTTCCCGGAGATTTTTTCAGACAAAACTATTTACAAGAACATTTCCCTTTTCAACGGACAAAAGGAATTTACTAATTCCAAATATTTCGCCTTTCGAAACACGAGGTGCCAGTTATAATACAAAAGACGCGTGCTCGAGTTATTTAACGTGCTTTAGGAGGCAGTCAACAGTTTCACCTAATAAGGCACCAACATCGAATGTGGCAACGCCGAAAAAAGGGAAAGGACCAAAATCAAAAAGCTCGAGTGCAGATACCTTAAGTCCGAGAGCAAAAAAAGTGCTAAGAGTATTATCAGTCGTAAGCACTTGTGCAGGAATAATATTCATCATATATTCAGGTGGGTTATATTTGACTCGAAGAGAAAAAGAAGATTTGACAGGTCTTTATCGTCATCAAATGATTCTCACGACACTGTACAGGACGTCCATTTGAGGGTGATCGGGAAGATCAGGTAAAATAATTCGCAAGGGTGTCACTGAAAGGCGAAGACACTTGATTGATAATAACAATTTTTTTGCTCTGCGTGCAGTACAAAAGTTTAGACAAGTTCACGGGATGGAGTAAACGATTAGAGGCACGTGGGAACGATCTCCTTCATGTGAGTCCTGGATGCGATATGTACAAAAAAAAAAGCATTTAACAAAAGATTATTGACTTGAATTCTTTGAACTACTAGTTTTTCACAGAACCTTCGTCAGACAAATTATTACCTGACAAAAATACTTTGCCAAATTATTCACCGTACACATTAGTAATCAATTTAGATCAAACGCTTATTTATTCTACATGGGATGTAAGTATCATATTGATAGCGTGTATTACGTCAAATTTGAATATATATATATATATTCTTTCTATATTAGAGAGAGAATGGCTGGCGAACAGCAAAACGACCTGGTGTAGATTTCTTCTTATTTGTTTTGTCAAACCTTTTTGAAGTGGTTATTTTTACTTCACAACCTTCATATGTAAGTGGACTAAAATTATTATTATTATTATAATTTGGAATTTAAATTTTTCAATAATAATAGTAATAATAATATTTTGCTTTTAATAACAGGTTGCGGATCAGATTCTCACGAAGCTCGATCCGCTGGCAATGGTTCCCTTAAGACTTTATAGAGAATCGACGAGATATGTAGACGGGAAGATCGTCAAGGTAAGTAATATCTAATTATACTCTTGATTCTAATAACTCAGTATGTTGATATAATTTATGTGTTAGGATCTTTCCAAGTTGAATCGGGATCTTTCCAAAGTGATAATCATGGACTCTAATGCCGATTCCTATTCATTACAACCAGATAACTCCATCGCCGTTCCCCCATGGAAAGGGGATCCCAATGACAGTTTTCTAATTGATATCATTCCATTCCTTGAGCGTGGGTATTTAATAATATTGGCATACTTGACATTATTATTTCCGATAAAATTTATCAACATATTTGTGTTCAATATTAGATTTCACGCTATTGTCACCATATGAAATCAAGGATGTTCGACCAATATTAAAGCAATTTCGTGGAGTTGATATACCTAAGGCATATGCGGAATGGGAGGAACAATGGAAGGAAAAAAAACGACAGGAATTAGAAAAAGCCAAAAGTGAAAAGAAGGGATTGGCGAGTTGGGCGTCCGTTTTTGGAGTCGGTCACGGTGTATGTACTTCATGAATGTGACATATAACAGATTATGTAAAATGAAGTTTACAATAACAAATTATTTATTAATTGATTTCCTATAACAGCAAGATCAAATCCCTCAGTATCAACAAGCACTATTACATCGACAGATGGCACACGAAGAATTGGTACAACATTATAAATCCATAAAGGAACAGAGTCCAGAATTGCAACGAGCAATGAAACAAGACATGGATAATTATGAGAAACAAATTGCGGAAAGAATGAAAGAGCAGAAGATGACACTTTGGCAGCTGGCGATACAGGTAAAGGGGAATCACTATTTTGGATGAAGCATTAGATTTGATTTTAACTAACGTTTGATCATTTTTAGGGCCCACCAAAAGTGCCATTCCCAGGACAAGAACAAAATCCACAATCCCAATCGCAAACAAATTCATAATTAATTTAATAATAATTAGGAAATATATAGGCATCACTTGTATTACGTGTAATACGCTTTATTTTGATTTGATTCACAATCACGTGTTCACTTGATCGTCGTCAGCCAATAAAGCCTCATGATGTACCATAAATAAACAAGACTTTTCGTCTATACATACAATACCATAACATATTTTGAAAACACGTCAACGTATTGCTTAAGAACATAGAACTTCCTTCATAATGTCAGGTATTTGTAAAGCTCGCCTTACCGAAGAACGTCGACAATGGCGAAAAGATCATCCATATGTAAGCCCTTGGAGTTGTTTTAGGAAAATTCTTATTTCAGTATGAGTTAACATTGATTCTGTGTATTAAGTGTTTTTTGTTTCTCGGGCATTCTACAGGGCTTTTTTGCGCGTCCAGTGAAGACCGAAAACGGACTGGATTTATTAAACTGGCAAGTCGGCATTCCAGGTAAAAAGGGGGTAAGCGCTGCACAGATATTTATTCCGTTTTGAGATAGTTTGCTTTTAATTCTCTTGATATATTCATGTTGCACTATGTAAGAATATCTTTAATCTATTAACTGTGGAATCTGATTCGCTTAGACGCCATGGGAAAACGGCGTATATAAGCTGATAATGATTTTTCCCGAAGGTAAGAAGTTTTTTTATAAGACAAATTAAAAAATTTCCTAGATTCATTAGAGGTCATCTTCCTTTCAGACTATCCATCAAAGCCACCTAAATGTAAGCCTACAAAGGATTTGGGGAATTCTCTTTAGTTATCGGTTCATTAGCTTGCGTATAATTCTTACAATGAAAATCATTCTTTTGCAGGTAAATTCTTGCCTCCTCTTTTTCATCCGAACGTTTATCCTTCGGGAACCGTTTGTCTGTCGATTTTAAACGAAGAGGAGGGATGGAAACCATCAATCACCATCAAACAAGTGTGTAAAGTGTGATTTCCTAAAATTTTCCGAGACCAATGGTCTTAACATTGACAAATGTATTTAGATTTTACTTGGCATCCAAAACCTTCTCGACGAACCTAATCCGGAAAGCCCTGCACAATCGGATGCATATATGCTTTTCAAGTAAATCTCCCGTTCAGTTCGTTGAGTTTTTTCATAATATGTGTATTAATTATTTTTTTAAAAATATATATATATATATATATATATAGAAAAAATCGCGTGGAATATGAAAAGAGGATCCGACAACAGGCTAGGGAGAATCCCGCATAATTATCCGCATTGACGTTAATACGCGCGCCTCCATCAAAATAACATTTTGTTTTTAATGGAAACTGATGACTTCCTTTTTTATTGTTTGTTCTAGAATGGATCTTGAGGAGTTCTAATTAACTTTGCTTATTTTTGTTTTTTTTTTTTTTGTAATGCATGAAAACACGCCATCCGATACCACAAGTACTTAATCATCCCTTTTTCATGTAGAATTAGTGGTCGATTTTTCATATTCAATGTATTTAGATCTTTATCATCAATAAATCATATATTTAATCATTGTTGTAGTTTTTGTTCGGAACAGCAATTTACAGCATCCTTGTCAGGTGTTTACATAATACGATAATACGTAAATTTGATGTCACGTCACGTATATATTAAAGTATAAAAAATTTGATCGGTTGTAACTCTCACGCGTACGCAGCATGAACGAATGTAATTTTTGCCACAAATTTTCCAAGCTTCGGTGCGCAAGATGTCATAAAATTTATTATTGTTCTGAAGAATGTCAAAGAAAAGACTGGAAGGTTCATAAAAAGTTGTGTGAAAGAAGTAACAAGATGTATGCGAGCCTTAAAAATTTTTTTGTATTCATTACAAGATACTCATCACGCTTGTTTGAACAATTAGTAGAGATGATCAAACGAAAAACGGTTCGAGTGTTCCAAAAGCGAACGACAAGCCTGATCGATCCTCTAATTCTATCTATACCACAAATTCTCGTGGGGATCATGAACTTATGATATGTTTGGTAGCTGCCAAAAGAGGAGACCCCGATGGACAATATCGCCTCAGCCTTTTTTATAAATTCGGTATAATCGTTGAAAAAGATGAAAAAAAGGCATTCTATTGGGCGCTGAAATCAGCTGAAGGAGGATGTTTCAGTGGACAACTCAACGTTGGATATGATTACGCGCATGGCAATGGCGTTGCTAAAGACGAAAAAGAAGCATTTAAGTGGTTTTTGAAAGTCGCCGAAAGCGATAACGCTGAAGGTCAACTTATTGTTGGGAAATGTTACCTGAATGGAACATGTATTATCAAAGATGAAGGAAAAGCATTCGAGTGGTTCTTGAAGTCCGCAGGAAACGAAAATTTTGAAGCACAATATCAAGTTGGATTGTGTTATCAAAATGGTATAGGTATTTCAAGAAACGATAAGAAAGCATTTAAATGGTACCTAAAATCTGCCGAGGGTCACTGTTCCGTTGAGAAAAATAGATATGTACGAATCTATAAAAGTGTGGATGCAAACAACGACAAAATTGGCTATAGGCACGCAAGGAGTGAATCCAGAGCACAGTTTATGGTTGGAATATGTTATGCAAATGGAATTGGCGTTGAAATAGATAAAAAAAAGGCATTCGAATGGTACTTGAAATCTGTAGAAAATGGTGATCCCAGAGGAAAATTTCAAGTCGCCGTGTGTTATCTTAGTGGAATAGGAACCGCCAAAGATGAAAATAAAGCGTTCGAGTGGTATTTGAAATCTGCTGAAAGCGGTGATTCAAACGGGCAATTTTGTGTAGGAATTCACTATCTGAAGGGTAGATGTGTTGAAAAAGATGAAAAGAAGGCGTTCGAGTGGTTCCTGAAGGCTGCTAAAAACTCAAACTTTGTTAGTCAATATTATGTGGGGTTGTGTTACGAGACTGGCATTGGTATCGAAACAAATGAATATGAGGCATCCGAATGGTACTTGAAATCCGCTAGAGGTGGCAATCCTCATGCACAGTATGAAGTTGGTCGAGTTTATCAATATGGCATAGGGTCCGTCAAGGATGAAAAGGAAGCATTTGAGTGGTATTTGAAATCTGCAAAAAGTGGTTCCGGTAATCCTAATAGGCATTGTGCTGTTGGGATTTGTTATGAAGGTGGTATAGGCGTTGACAAGGACGACAAAAAGGCGTTTGAATGGTATTTTGAATCCGCCGCAAGTGGGCATCCGTATGGACAAATTAAACTTGGATCATGCTACTTGACCGGAACAGGTACTGCCCGGGATGAAAAGAAGGCGTTTGGATGGTTTTTGAAGTCTGCCGAGAGTGGTTTTCCCGAAGGGCAATGTCAAGTTGGTCAATGTTATCAGAATACTCTAGGCACAGTCAAAGATGAAGCGAAGGCTTTCGAATGGTATTTGAAGTCTGCGGAAGGTGGTAATCCCAGTGCACAGAACAACATCGGAGCGTTTTATCAAGGCGGTAGAGGTGTTGTAACTCGAGACGAAAAGAAGGCATTCGAATGGTATTTAAGATCTGCCAAGGGTGGCAGTCTACTTGGACAAAGTAACCTCGGGACATGCTACCTAACTGGTGCAGGCACTACTCAAGATAAAAGGAAGGCGTTTGAATGCTACCTGAAATCTGCTAAAGGTGGATGTTCACACGGACAAAGTCGTGTTGGAATGTGTTATGAAGATGGCATAGGCGTTGAAGAAGATGAAAGGAAAGCCTTCGAATGGTATTTGAAATCCGCTGAAGGTGGCAATTTCATTGGTCAATGTAGACTCGGAATCTTCTATGAATATGGTAGAGGAGGCGTTGAAAAAGATGAAAAGAAGGCATTTGAGTGGTACTTGAAATCTACCGAGGGTGGTGATTTTGTTGGACAACTTAAAGTTTACTTATTTTATCATGATGGCATCGGAGTATCTCAAAATCCGGAAAAGGCCTCGGAATGGTTGCAAAAAGCGAAGAATAATAAAAATCGACCAAACGATGAGGATATGAACAGAGGTAAATTTTTAATAAACTTTTTGCGCATTCGAATATACTTTTTCAACTTGCTAAAATTTTTAATTAACCTCTTTTTTTTTTTCTTCAAGTTATTACGGCCTCAAGTGGATCATATCTTGATAAAAGTTTAAACTATTTGGCTTAATTCGTATTGCACTGTTCATCTAATTTATAAGGTTGGATGTGCAAGGTTTTTAGCCAAATTAGGTTTTCTTCGAACATGAGTTAGATTCTATCAAAAATTTCTATATAAAAAAAAAAAAAAAAAAAAAATGGTTTTCAAATTAAAAATGCTATAAATATTCGACATTGTATTAATCCGATTCCACAAAAGATATGCAGGGATCCGCTGGTGGGGTAGTTGACATGTCACTTGCCTGATCAGGATCGTGATTTCAGGTTCTATGCCAATTTAAAAGATGTCATTAACCCAACGGAATTTTATATTATTAGCAATAATTTTCGTTTAATAAATATATTAAGGTCGAAAATATTATACTGCATATTGTCATTTTCTAAATCCAGTCTGGTCTAAAAAAAAAAAACCTGGAACAAGTTATTTCTTTTTTTAAAAAAATACCGTGAATAAATAAACAGTAACTAACTACTGTATATGTTATTTGATATCAATTATATGTATATATTCACCGCCACGCTGTGATTAATTGTTATAAAATAAGTTATGTACATTGTAATTTATCACATGGCCTGACCTATTCATTTTACCAGTCATTCAAAAAAAGTTACGTTTTTGATCTAAATTTTTATTAGTTAAGAAATAGTTTATATGCAGATTATGCATAACCATACATCGTATTTGTCTAATGATAATGATTTTCAAAGATATATTTTTTGTTTCATACCAAATATTTAATGCTTCGCTAAAATCCAATTTCATTTCATTTTCCTTTTCTAATTCAACCATCATTAGCATATGTATTGTATTATTATTTAAAGTATTACGGGATTTGTTCTTAATTAAGTTGCGTTTAAAAAATCATGTTTACAATCTACACTAGAAAATGAAATAGAATATACTATTGCCAATAATTTACAAATATTCGAATGTTCTTTAAAATTATGTTGAAATAATAAATTCAATTTGTCTAATAATAATTTTTGATAATTTTTGATGTAATAATTTTTAAAGATAATTATGTATTATCAGAATTAATTATTGTTAATGAAAATAAAAATTAAATAAAAATTCCATTTCTTTATTATCAAATTCCAATAAATTCTCACTATTTAATTTTCTATTCGATAAATTAAATATATTTATAGCATTAATAAAAAAATTATTTGAAACTGGTTTCAAATTTTTAAAATTTTAATGGATATAGAATTCATTATATTACTTATTAAATTACTTTTCTGCTCTAATATTCAAATACATTATATGATTCAATTTTAATATTTTCTTTGGATATTATAATAATTAAAAACTTATTAAGATTCAGATTTAATTCAAAATCATTATATATCTATATTTAAATAATATTGTTTTTAATTTTATAATTGTAATTTAAATTATAAAATATATATTGAAAAAATAAACAAAATTGGATTTGAAATATTTTGTTAAGTTTCATAAGTTCAATAAAAATATTTAAAAAGAAAATTATTAAAAAACTTTTTAATACTTAAAATAAAATTTAAATTTGTTTTAATAATGAATTAGTATATAAATAGAATTTTATTATTTTTCAATAGATTTGCAAATTAATAAAAGTTTATATATATTACAATATATATTAACAACATATAAATTTATTTAAAAATAATTAAAAATAATGTTTATATTTGTAAAATATGTTTTGATAATTCAAATATTACAAAATTCAACAAATAAAAAGTATTTATCTTTTTATTAACAATATTATATTATTCTAAAACAAAGATTTAAATATTAATAAAAATTTTCAATAAACAAATAAAAAATTATTTATTTATTATATTTAACAATTAATAAAATTAATAAAATCTATATATAATTTTTAAATTATAATTTATATTTATTAATTATTAATTATTAGTTATCTTTTTAATAGTTAATAAAAATTCTTTTATTGAATATTTTACAAACCTCAATTTATAATATAAATTTTTATATTATCAG